TCTGTGCTTGGCTTTAATGAATTGAAATGAGTATTTTGAAGAGATTTCTGCACTCCCATGTTTAATGAATACTATTTCACAATAGTTAAGACACAGAAGCAACCTAAGTGCCCAACATCAGATGAGTACATTTAAAAAATAGAGTACACACACACAAAGGAATACTATTCAGCCTTAAATGAGGTAAAACCTATCACCTGCAACAAGATGGATGAACCTGGAGGATATTATGCGGAGTGAAATAAGCCAGCCATTTGATACCTTGAATTATTGTTGAGTTTTAACAGAACTGAGCCTCTGTTCCACCTGCTCTCTCCACCCAGAGCCGCCTTTTCAGGCTGTCGAGTGCCTACCTCTTCTGCAAGCCCCATCTGCTTTTGAACGAATAACTTCATTTCTTTGTGCCTCAGTTTCCACACTCATCAAATGGACGGATGTTACTTGCCTTAGAATACTGTTTGAGTTTCAATAAGTTCATGTTTATAAGGGGCTTAAAATAAGACTTGCTCAAACTCTAAATATGCCCAACAGATGTTAGTTGTTTAATAATATTGTTACTTGACATACTATCTCATCTCTGTTGCTCAGTCAATTTATACATAATTCCATTTACTCTTTAGGAGAACTTCCAAGCTCTAGGATTTCATTAACTGATTGCGGTGGTAAAAATCTGTGAGAGACCTCGGAGATCATCTACAGCAGTGTTTACTGAAGTATAGTCTGCTTGTATCAGAATCACCTGAGGAGCTTGTTAAAAATGCAAATGCTTGGGCCCAAACCCCATTCAACTGGTCCAGAATCACAGGTGGGGAGCCTAGGAAAATGCACTTTTAACAAGCTCCCAGGTGACGATGAAGCACAATAAAGTTTGGGAATTCACGGTCTAAAACTCTAGGTCTTCAGATGAGAGAACAAGGCCATAAAAGATTAGTTAATTCTACTTAGATGGAAGCGAGGGGAAAAAAAAGTCCATCTAGTTTGTGAAATGAAAGAATTGCCATATCTCACATCACTAGTGAAACACAAATGATTTCAAGGATGCTTCAGTGTGATGCTGTGGTCCTGAGCTTTTGTGCTGAAATAAGGGAAGAACATGAGCTCAGATGAGGCTTAAAATGTGATTCCAGATCTGTTGGCAGGAAGATTGATCAAAGCTCGACCGAATTGTGTTCTCTCATTTATGGTCAAAATGTGAATCCCAATGAAGAATCGATCTCAGTCACTGGACAGTGAGTAACACTACCGTAAACACACATCTATACCCTGCAGGACAAAGCAGCTTGCTCCTAATAAAGACATTTCTATTTTGTCTTGCTCATTTAATTTGACATTTGTCTTTTGGCAGAAGATGCATGATTGAGACAAGAAACAGATGATACTTCTTTCCTTTTGGAACCACATGAAGAAATCTTATTTTATCTTAGGGGTGAGCGGATATGTTAGTCAAGGGAAGATTTCCTGTATACTTACTTCTGAGATACATGGTTCCAACTGAGGAAAAGCCATACGAACAATGAAGTCCATTTTAATTAATCAGACCATTCATCAAGGACTACATCTATTTTTAAAAATGAACATAGTTGATTCTGAAGTCAAACACAACAGTGGTATTAGACTACCACACCCACTGATTAAATCATGTTATTGGAACAGAGCTCCAATTTTAGATAAACAAAATTAAGACCTCTAAAAAAGATAGTGACACTGTATTTCCTGGTAAAGCACATGATATACTTCCAAAATTGAAAAAGAAAAAAAAATTATCCACCATTGTTATTGGGAAAAATAAGAAATTGTAGTGTCTCTAGGAAATTGCTGTTGCTATGTTTTGTTTGTTTTTGAGACAGGGTTTTGTTCTGTTACCCAGGCCGGAGTGCAGTGACACAATCATAGCTCACTGTAACCTCAACCTCCTGGGCTCAAGTGAGCCTCCTACCTCAGCTTCCCAAGTAGTTGTGACTACAGGCATGTGCCACCACGCCTCACTAATTTTTAAACTTTTTTTCACAAAGACAGGATCTCACTATGTTGTCCCGGCTGGTCTCATAGTCCTGGGCTCAAGTGATCCTCCCAGCTTAGCCTCCCAAAGTGCTGGGATTATAGGCATGAGCCACCATGCCTGGCTGTTGCAATGTTTTTATTGTTGCTGTAGTACTATTCCTTAAGAGGAAAATAAATTATTCAAGTGTTCACAGTGCAAATGGGTCCACTGTCTCAGGATGGTTATGTTGTGTCTTGGCTAATATTGCCCCTGCATCTTAGTGGGACAGCTGCTTGAGAGGGTATGTTTTACATACAAACACAGCACAGGCTTGGTCAGGTGACTGCAATGTGGTGAGAACGTGCCCCAGAAATAGGACTTCATCCACTTTCCCTTTTACTCATTGGTTACAGGCAGAATCATATTGCCTTTTGGCAGTCTGTCCTCCAAACCAGAAGTTTACAAAAGCAAGATGGATCAAAAAAGAGTGGCCATTCAGGTAAAGGCAAAAGATACTGGCAAAAAAAATAAAAATTAAAAAAACCAAAAGAGTGGCCACAATATTCACAATCACCCAAAGGATTGCATCTTGGGGTGCACAACATTGTAGGGACCATGAAGAACATGGCTTCACTTCCCCTTCTCCCTTCTTCCATCTCCACCCTCTTCATCACCCCCTCCTCAGCCACATCACCGCGTTCTCTCTAACAGACTCTGTAGGAACTGGTTTCTGTTGGCTTTGGCTTTGAAATGTTTAAGGGGCCAAAAGGCTGGAATAATCAAACATCTTGCCTCTGCTTCCTCAGAATTTCAAAACTCCCCCTTAATCTTGGAGATCTCAAGGATTTAGTGGCTGATACCCAGTTTTCACTCAGTTGCAAAATTCATTGCACCCACTTCCACAGGACAAGGCTGTTAGAGGATGGACTTGTGGCACACTGGAAAATCTTCTCACAACAGACTGTACGTTTCCTGCCTGGTGCACTTCTCAGGCAACGTGTTGCTCGGTAGCTATAATCTATGGGGATAATTTCATCAAAGTGTGGACCATCGCCATTTCTTACATTCCTTGCACAATAATCACAAAGCTATTCCATTCTACATTTTCACCTAACCCAAAAACTGTATCCTAAGTAGGATGAAACTGTTTATATTGGGCCAGGACAAATAACCTGCAGATACTGAAGAGTTTTTTTTTTTTTTTTTTTAACCCATGCAATGCATATATCTGTGAGCTATGATTTAAAAACAAAAATGGAAACTGGTTTTGTTATCACCAGTTCAGTCCCAACCAATGCTTAGGACGGTGAGATTTAGATTCCCATCTATGCATTTCAATATTAGATTTTATTTAGAAAAAAAGACCTAATATGAGCTCGCACACTTGGCTAGTTTTTCACAATGACTTGGTACTGTTTTTGCTGCACCGGAAATAGAACATTCTCATTTTTCCTTCCCATGTGAATAAAATTGCTTTGAATCTGTCAAGCTTCATTCTGTGAATATAATGCATTCTCTTAATTTATCAAAATAATTTTCAATTTTAATTTTTGCCAATCAATTTTTCTTGTTATCCAATATAACAAGCATGCTATTCTGGCATTAAAGTCATGTATACAGTGTAAAACTATTCTAGCACAAATTCTAGAAATACACTTAATATGCTAAAACTGGCAATGCACTGACAATAATTTTCTCTTTTAGTCATCCCAACCAGCCATGCCCTCTGCTTATTTTACTACTTTATGTCACCAAGTTACACAAGAAAGACAAATTGCCAAGATATGCGTCCTTTGCTTTTGACATTTGTATCAGATTATGCTTACTATAGGGGTAAATTAGATTAACCTGATTAAGAGTCAGTTGATATTTATTGGTGTTAGTCATTGATATGCCAATAACATCTGTGGCAATATTCTAAATGCTAATAAATTGATGCCTTGGTGGAAAGTACCTTTATTTAAAACCCCTAGGAAATGTATTTAACTGTCTGTGATATCATTGTCACATGACATATGGCCACGTTTTAAAAGTATTTTATATTTATTTAATGATTATATACTTAATTTGAGAACCTTAAAATTAAAATAATAAAAATGAAGAGAAAGGAGTGGTGTCTTATTAAAAAATAAGTGATATTAAAAGTAAGTGATATTAAAAAATATTGTGATATTAAAAAATAAGACATAAAATGTTCATGAGAAGTAAACACTTTAAATGACAATTCCAATCCTTTGAAATGTTATCTAATGTATTACATGTTAGAGAGCGTCTATTCTACTAAGAGCATCAATACTTAAATTATAAATAAAAAATTTAGAAATAATTCAATTTACTTTCAAATAATAAATAATCTTTGAAGAAAAAACTACAGCAATTTATTTTTTATGAAAGGAGTATTTGTAGTTACTTTATCATATACTTTTTTTCAGTAAAAGGGGAATTAAACTATTACCGGACACCTTGTTAAGTAATTATATAGCAACATCACTGTGCAATTAAATAGCCATCAGTCCCTGCAGCTGAGAAATTTCAGGTAATTATTCAAAGATAATTTAATAGGAGAATTACTGTATTCAAGCAAGCATTAACTAGTAATCTACCTCAATTAAAGCATCCAATTAATTTCAGAACCTTGATAACAATTGCCTTTGGCAAAACTATCCTTTGCCCTCATTTGATCCTACATCTACTATATTCCTTAAACACTGTATAAAGTGAACTTGCTTCTCCTAAAAGTATAGTCTATTAATAATACCATACTGAGAAATTAAACAAATGAAAATATAAAAAATATTGCCTTTTCCCTCCATCTCATTTGTACCTTTTACCCAGACTATTATGCAGAAATTGATCAAGGCTGATTTGGATTTTGGAGCATCAACTTTCTTAATTTTCATTGTAAAGAGCAGAAAACATGTTAGTAATGGACATTTTCACAAGGGGCTTTTGTTTGCAGATTGATTTGTTCATTGGACAAACTCTCCTAGGGAAACATGCCCCTACGAATTTGGTGTGATGGTGGCGGAGCTAACGAGCGTGCAGAGGCTCTTCTGAACGAGACTTCTCTGCTCCTGTCTTCACTTGATCTTTGTGCACAATAGAAAAAGCCTCAGCTTTGGAGTCAGGTGGGTTTCGAAAATGCAGAGAAGAAATTGCTTTTTTGTTGTTCGGGGGACTGCTAATCTTGTTGAATCTTAAGTCTTATGAAGGATGTAATTTTCTTAAAATAAGTCAGCATTTTGAAAGCTGTTTGCTATTCAAAAACTGTCTAGCTTTCAAGCTGTCCCTTAAGAGCCATCGTGGCCTTGACCCACTCACAGCTCTACTGGGTTCTTTGGTAGGTCACTCAGCCTTTTGGGGGGCGGACATGGAGGCTCTTCTAAGGCGCCATTTTCAACCCAATAGCAAGTGTCCTCCTCACTGGGGATCTCACACTCTGCGTCATCCGCTCACGGTAGTAGCTTGAACTCACTTGCCTCAAGACTGAATTAAAGGTAGCATAAGGCTGACCACAAAAGGGAAAAGTACGTGGGTTTGGCTGTGTGTCTTGTCAGATGATTAGAAGTGCCAAAAACACCTACATGGTTTGTCTCTAGCCATCACTTCAAAGCTCCTGGAGCTCTCACAGCAGCTGTGGAAAATGGCTAAGAAAAGACTGTGCAGATGTCCACAGATGACTCAGAAATATTGCAGGCTTATCTCCCCTCCTCCTCATTCAGTAGCCTTCATCTCTAAAGTTATGCCGTGGCTTCCTTTCTACCTTTAGCTCCATTTGGAAAATGACCCCATCTGGCTGTTTACTCTGGTTCTCACATGTCATTTTTTAAGGACTCTGTTTCCAGTACTTCCCTTGTTGGGCAACATAGTACGGCTGTAGGCGATAAGTCCTCAGTCCAGCTCAGGACCCTGGGACTGCTCCTCAACCCAACACAAGCCTCCTTTGTAAGAGATGGGACACAGAAATGGTTGTCAGAGGTTATGGGATTGGAAAACTGTTATTCAGGACGTGGACTAGGGTGAGGTGTGTGAGGCTGAGCCTTGCAAGTGATGGGTCAAATCCTGTCTGTTTTACATATATTTATACATTGATAATGTTGCCTTAAGTGACTTTAGTTCTTGATCACCAGAATAGATAAATATGTGCAGTAATTCCACTCCTAATCTTTATTTCCTAAAATTTCTAATAAATCCATGGTTTATGTTCTCTCCACTACATGTGTAATCACCTTTCCACTTTGGTCAATTGATTTTCCTCCCTCCCTCCCTCCCTCCCTCCCTCCCTTCCTTTGTTTTTTCTTTCTCTCTCTCTCTTTCTTTCTTTCTGAACGTTCCGGGGTACCTGTGCAGAACGTGCAGGTTTGTTACACAGGTATACATGTGCCATGGTGGTTTACTGCACCTGTCAACCCATCATCTAGGTTTTAAGCCCCACATGCATTAGGTATTTGTCCTAATGCTCTCCCTCCCCTTGACCCCCATCCCCTGACAGGCCCTAGTGTGTGATGTTCCCCTCCCTGTGTCCATGCATTCTCATTGTTCAACTTCCACTTATGAATGAGAACATGCGATGCTTGGTTTTCTGTTCCTGTGTTAGTTTGCTGAGAATGATGGCTTCCAGCTTCATCCATGTCCCTGCAAAGGAGATGAACTCTTCCTTCTTTATGGCTGCATAGTATTGCATGGTGTATATGTGCCACATTTTCTTTATCCAGTCTATCGCTGATGGGCATTTGGGTTGGTTCCAAGTCTTTCCCATTGTGAATGGTGCTGCAATATACATACGTGTGCATGTGTCTTTATGAATGATTTGTAATCCTTTGGATATACACCCAGTAATGGGATTGCTGGGTCAAATAGAATTTCTATTTCTAGGTCCTCGTGGAATCGCCACACTGTCTTCCACAATGGTTGACTAATTTACGCTCCACTAACAGTGTAAGAGTGTTCCTATTTCTCCACATCCTCTCCAGCATCAGTTGTTTCCTGACTTTTTAATAATCGCCATTCTAACTGCTGTGAGATGGTATCTTACTGTGTTTTTTTTTTCCAATTTTTTTTATTGCATTTTAGGTTTTGGGGTACATGTGAAGAATGTGCAAGATTGTTCCATAGGTACGCACATGGCAGTGTGATGTGCTGCCTTCCTCCCCATCACCTATATCTGGCATTTCTCCCCATACTATCTCTACCCAACTCCCCACTCCCCAGCCCCCCTACCCCCCCCACCCCCCCACCCCCCCGGCCATCCCCTATTTCTCCCCTACAGACCAGTTTTGATTTGCATTTATCTAATGCTTTGGTCGATTTCCTAGCAGCTAAAGAGCAAGTCACTTTTCTACTGCAAATGATACTATCTGTGCTATAAATAGCAAACAGCTTTCAAAATCCTAACTTATTTTAAGGTAGCTGCATCATTCATGAGACTTAACATATTTTAATATAATTTTAGGTTTTGGAAATTCATATGAGAATTTTTTTTGGTCATTGACATGGTTTCTTCTTAATTTTAACTAACTTCAGACACAACTTGTAACTTGCAGCTTCCCAGTGAAGAGCAAGAGTTGAGTTTAGCAACTGTTTGGACCGGCCAAGTAACAGGTAAGATGACACACCCAGGGCTTCTGTGCCTTGATACATCTGGCACATAGTAGGCTCAAAGCATATCGATGGCATGAATGAATCCCCACCTTTTCCCCAGTACCAGGCTCTTCCCTCTATGTTTCTTGGATAGTCTAATCAGTGTGCCATGATATCATTAACTCAAGAAAGTTGTATTAACCACTGGACCAATCCACTATTTTCCTGTTACATTGATATTAACCAACAGAAAGGGTTAGCCTTTCTAAGGCATACAAACAGGCAAACAGAAATGCCAATTTCAGTGTTTTATATTTTAGTCCATTTGGACTCGAAAGAATTAAAGAACTGAAAAAATATCAAAGAGAGAAAATTAAATAAACTACCAAAGAGAAATTAATGATGTTCCCTCCCACAAAGGAATTTGTCATCATAAATATATTGATGAGCTCCAAGACACAACTTGAAAGACACTTTAAGCTACACAGGAATCATCAGTTAATAGGCAATATTTTCTATCTAGAGTTGTGATCCTGTTGACTTTCAGAGTCGAATCACACCTCCATCAAACCCATAGTCACCAGCGCATTCCCAGCACACACAATCCACATGATTAAAGCAGGTGACGACTTCTCCAAAATAACCACAAAATGCCCAAAGTCTTAAATTCATTCTATTTCACACCTCTTGCTATTCTAATTATCATTGCTTTTGGAGCAAGTTACCTGCATTTACCTGATTTAAGTTATCTGCAATTTTTTTTAGAATTAAAATGGTATATTTCGCTTTTCCTTGTCATGTCACAGAACTCTGTTACTAAACACATTTTGGAAAAATCCTTTAGAAGATTCAATAAGAAATTTTAAAACCCTAGTGGATTTTATACTGCTGCAAACTCTCTGCATCCTCTAAATAAAGAAGCCCATAATTGATTAATAAAAGCTAAGTAATTTTGGTATTAATATGATCCCCTGGGAGGCCTCCATAATCACAAGTAGCAGGCCAGTCACAGCATTGCTCAATTATACATACTGGTAAATAATCTGCAAATCAACAAACCCTATAAGGGGATTTTCAGCATTTCCAATTTGTTAATCCATGATAAATTCCTCTCAAAGGTCAGACAAAGCCCAGTTGCTTTCATATTTTGAGGATCCTGGTTTATTAAAAATGCTTTGAAACAGTTATCAAATCATTTTATATTTAAAATGATTATGCCTAACACATTAGTGCTATAAATATATACCCATAATACAATGCTATATGACTGTCCATATAAAAATATATTTATAAAACTTTCAATTTGCAGGGCAGTCCAAGTGCATGGTGTGGTATTGGGACACTGTCTTCTCTCTGACCTGTCGGGAGTATCTCTGTGGCTCAACGTGCTGGCCCACTGGAGGCCCTGGGTGAGTGTGAGGCCTGCATCAGGGGCCCAGGGTCTTCCTCTCCCACTGGGCTCAGGTGTATTCAGTAAGCGTGGCACAAAATGAAAATCCCAGTCTCTGCTCCCCTTGGGTTGCTCTTGTTAAAAAATTTTAAGAAAAGATTCATTATAATTACCTAGAGGAACACAACTCAGTGCTTAGACCATTCATACCTTCAAAAGTGCTCTTTTCTAAATCACACTTTTTTTCTGTTAAATCTAAGTTCTCTCTTCAACCTGACCTCATCAAAGATTAGTGATTCTGCCTTTTAGAATTTTTAAAGTTTATTGTCACTCTCCATAACCCCACTTTCTTTGTTGTTAGGGAGCACTAATTTCTTTAAATTTCTTCAGTTAGACATGGGCTGTCTTTACCCTCTGAAATACTAAAATTGTCACATTCAGTGCTTCAAGCAAAAGTCAGTAAAGAGAAATAATGTAATTTCCATAATATTTTAAATGAAGAAATATATGATTGATTTAATCACATGTAGTATAAAGCTCTCCTGTAAAGAAATATCACCATTTGCCTATCTCTTTATTAGATTTTGTAGAAGATACAAAGTATAACAAATGAGCCTTCATGTAATATTCTTAATATAAGAAGAGCTCTTATAAATCAATGAGAAAAAAATAAACATTGCAAAAGGAAAATGAACCAGGGGCAAGAATAGGAAATTTCTAAAGAATAATTATAAGTGATCAATAATTACATGAAAGGAGTTTATCTTCGGTAGTAATCAGTAAAATACATATTCAAACAATAACAAGATATGATGTTCATCTATCAATATATATTTTAAAATGATAGTAGCGATGGTGAGGGGCTGGGAAGTGAGTATTCCTCTGTACTTCTGGTGCAAATATAAGTTGGTAATACCTTTCTTAAGAGGAATTTTGCAGTATGAATTAAAAGCCTTAACATTTCATACTTCTAACATAGTAATTTTAGGAATTTATCTTAAGGAAAGTCCTTATCCTAAGAATGTGCAGAGGTATGGACATGCTTATGACAACCATTTCATAATAGCAGGAACTGAAAACAACCTCAATATCTGATAATAAGGACACTAGTTTTGTATCATATAATATACCCAAATGAAGAAAACCATGTTCTATTAAAAATTACGTTGTAAAGAATATTTAATGGCATAAATGTTTTCTGAATGTATTAAGGTAAAAAATATAGGTAAAGACCACTAAATATGTTGCCATTTACATTCTCCTTAAAATAATTGTTAATGATGACGCTGTACTCACTCTACCTTATAGATGCCACTTAGCTGACATAACTTCTTTCCTAATGTTTGATAGGAAAATCTATATTTTATGATGAACATCCTGGAACACACACTCTTTACACATGTATCTGATGACCTCCAGTTTATTACTAACAGTTGATTAAAGGGTTAAAGGATAAAAATACTAATAAGAAATGTGACAGATGTTATCAACATTTGACACTATTTTTCAAAAAGATGGGCAACTCCTGGCCTTCCCTTTAGCGCAGTACTGGTTACCCATCTTTTTGCTTAGGGAAAAGAGGTAATATATGGTTTTTATTTATATTTACTTTATTACAGGCCAGAATGATCACACATACTATCATATTTTCATGTATTTTTTAACTATTTATATTTTGTCTGTAAAAGGTTCATACTGCCCTTTTTAAAATGGAAACATCTCAAATGGAAATTAGAACAGTCTCCTCAGTGACTTCACTGAAATATTTGCCAAGTAGATCATAACTCTAAGTCACAGTGAGATTGGTTTGCTGCTTCTGTGGGCCTGGATATAGGCTCTAGCCTTGGAACTAAAGGATCTTTAGAGCGTAAACCTGGGACATCACTGCCAATTTACTTACTTCTTTAGATCAAACCATGTTTTATCTCATGACGAACTAAACAGAGACGCTTCATTTTACTTTTGGTACTATAACACAGGTCTTGGTATTTAGTGATCACGGAATACAGGTGAATGAGCCAACACAGACCTATTTGAATTTAGTTCTTAAAGACATTTATTTATTTGCATTTGAGGATACTTTTCTTTTCTTGACTGCCCCAAAACTTTGACATAAAAAATGTAAACCTACTTTTTTCTCAACCAACCTTTGAGTGTCAATTGTCAATGTGGATTTGATGTGTTAAGAAAGTTTAAGTTAAAAAGAAATTTAGGCCTATAACCTTACTATAGCAATTTCTTCACCTTACTGAAATACAAGATTTTTTTTGAAAACATTCTGCAACTGTCAATATACTGGATGTATTCTGTCAACATATCAACTGGCAGAGCTATTGGGATGAAAGACTAAGTGAGAAGTTGATGTCTTACTAAAGTGCTGAACATTAAGTGGCTTTTGGGATGCTGAGAATTATCCTGGCTCAATAATATGTAGGAGAAGCTTAGGAAACCCAAATAACAGCAGAAGGTACAGGGAGAGAAGTGGAAGTAGTTTGGGTCAGTGATATAATATCTGTTTCTTTAGTGGTGTAATGAAAAGACCAACTGGTACAGCTTTAAAAACCTGCATAAGTTTGAATTTTAGTTCCAATTACTACTTGTGAGACCTTAGGCAAGTCAATTTACTTTTCTAAGCCTCAGCTTCTCTTTTGTAAAACAGAGATTTAAAAAATCGCTAACAGAGTTGTTGAAAAGGTCAAAGTGCTTTTAGTATTAAAAGATCTATACCAGTGATCCTCAAGTGAGGGTGAATTTTCATACCTGGCAATGTCTGGAGATTTTAGTTGTTACAACCAGGAGCAGGTACACTACTGGCATCTATTGGATAAAGCCAGAGATGGTGTTGACCATTCAGCCCCTCACAACAAAGACTTATCTGCTCCAAAAAGTCAACACTTCTGAGGCTGGGCTACCAGTGCCTTTGGCTTCACTGTCGCATTCTTTGTTAACAGTTCAGAGTCTTATTAAGAGCTTCCTTGTTCAAGCAAACCTCAAGTAATGGAATCACAGTAACTGCTTCTCTAAGTGTATGGCTTTTTCTAGAGTGATAAACTCTAGAAAAATCACTCTTCTCTAACTAATATGTACAAATCACATCTCTATAAAGGAAGACCAGTAACTATGCCTTGAACATGCTAAACTCATGACACCTGACTTCTCAACAAGAGCTCTGTTTCACATGAAATTGTGCAGAGATGTAGGTACAATTGTGAGCAACCACCAACAGAATAAATAGGAGAACATTTCAGAAACTCATAGAAGTGAAACAGCTATTTGACTAGGCTGCTTGACTTAATATGGTTTTATTTTTTTCTATGTCTAAGTTTCTCCCTCTGAAAAGTGGGACTTGCCAAGAGCAGTCACGGTCCTGAAAGAAGACGGAAGCTCTGTGATACCAGCTCCAACCAATGCCGTTGCTACCAAGGGGACATCACACTACCCTTTCCCATCTAGGTGAAGAACCATGAAGGAAAATGAGAATACGTGTTTTCTTACATATCCGAAACATGTGACATCATTGCACATTTTCACAAATGAAACAGAAAATACACCATTTCCAAATTACCACTGGAAAGTCCAGTTAGTTTCATCAAGAGTGAAACAGTAATTTAATGTTAAAAAAATTATTTATACTAACTATGTGACTCGGACTGTGGGACTATGCCTAAACATATAAACTGGTTTGACTGGTTAAACCAGCCAAGAAGTTGGTGAATAGAAGCCATTGAAGGAGATGATGCCCTTTTAGCCCTCTGGAGACAACATCTTAACCAGACTTTAAGTGAACCACAAAATTAGGTATCTCTCTAAAAGTATTAACAGGCAATTGTGAATGTTCAATTAACAAAAAGAGAAATGCCTTTATTCACTTAGTGTACAGGGATATGAAAAACAAGGAAAGGTGCACATGCTCTTCAATAGACATAGGATTAAATCCAGATAATTTAGTCAGAAATCCTATTTGAAGAGAAAGCTGTTTATCCAAATGAAATCACCCCCTGTATCTGGTTGATGCAGAAAGTGCCTTAATTTTCCCTGACATATGAAAAAGGTAGATCTTGATGCTCAAATATTTACAAAATGTAAGCATTTTTACAGATTGTTATCAGATAAGGACTTGGAGCACATCTTTAAAGGCTCTTGGGAGGGAACTGAACTTAGATTATTCATAGCTAACTTATCTAACACACTTCAAATACTTTAAAATAAAACTAATCCCTGCACTGGTGGGTTGAAAACTTTTTCTATCCCCAGGGCACTAAAATAATACCCTTTTGAACAGTAGGTGAAGTATTTTAGGTGACAGCTCTCTAGTTATAACAAGGCAAGTCAATTTTTAGGAATTAGGGATGCTAATCACAGTATCTCAAGATGTGCATTGCTGGAGAGTGAAAGACAAGCCCAGAAACTGACATGACTGCAGTGTGCTATGATCCCGACAAGAAGATATAAACAGGAGGGAGACTTGGCTTCATCTATCACAAAAGTCAAGATAATTGGCCACATACAGCAAAATCAACACCACTCGCTGTCCCCTAGCCTAGCGGATAAGCCTAGAAACTCAGCTTCCTGCCGAGCCAAGGGGTGGCAAGCCCAGGTGGAGGAGGAGAAGGTCTGAAAACATGCATGTAAGAATACAAGGCCCTGTAATGATGCCATCAAATTCAGCATTAGAAGTATTTTACAATCAAACTGTGATACTGGAAGTTGCCCCCAAACACATAAGAAATGCTTCTGGGGTTTTATCAGAAGACTACGTACTCTCATGTTTATGCTGCTCTGCTGTTTTCAGACTGCAAAAGCTCTCAACATTATAGATGTACTTGTGTTAACAAATGAAACTGTAATAAATGCAATTTATGGCTTAATGCATTACTAAAATATGACTATCTGAGGATTCAACTTCTCTTAAATGTTCCGATTAATCTCATAATTCGAAGCTAGGGTAAGCACTGACAAAAACAAAGGCGTCAGAAAATTTGCATAAAGGTGAAATAACTGAGTGACGAAAAGTAGACT